AATGGTCACACGCGACACAACACTATCACTCTCGTCATCGTCACCAGGATAAGCTGGCCACTGCACAGGAGGCGTTTGAGCGGACAAAGGAGGAAAGCACACGCATCACAGAGTTCTTTGGCGAGGACAGCAAACAGATGCACAGCCAACAGCTGTTTGCACACGTGCACGACTTTGCTGTCTCTCTCCAGTCCTCCTTCGCTTCCTCCAGCACAGCGTCACGATAACGTTGGGTTTGGAGACGGGGGGGGGTTATGTTCAGCTGGTGTTGGCATGATGGCGATATGATGACCATGGTGGTGATGACAAATGTACACATGCGAAGGATGTGAGTGTCTGTCTGACCCCAATGTGTTACGTATGCATCCATGAGCTGATGTGACGTTTGTACATATAACGTTGCGTTTAGTTGTGTTGTTTACATTCGTTCTTGCGTCAACGCAACAACAACAACAACAACAACAACAACAACAACAACGACAACAACAACAACAAAGGCATAAGGGAACCACGGCATCGTGTGTACAGACAAACAGTAAACAGTAACCGGCCCGCGCTTCCTCGCCAGCCAACACGACAAACGCAACGAGTGCAGCAGAAGTGTCGTCTCAAGACACAGAAATGACGGAAAGTGAAGAGAAGAGGGAAAGGGGCGAGACAATGAAGAAGGGAGCAGGGTCGTCCATGACCCACGCGCCATGTTATAACACGAGGGATTTGCACTCCACCAATACCGACAGCGGCGAAGAAAACCAAAAAAGCACAGACACAAACACGCACAATTCTGCTTAGATGAGTTACGAACATCCATACATCCGTCAGCTGGCATTCTCATCGCATCGTCATGCCATCACGCCATTATCACAGTCCAAACCACGCACGCGTGTGTGCGTTCACTTTGGGCGCTTGGCTGGATTTGCGTCCATGAAGGCTGCTGCATCCGAGGGCCCGGCAGCAAGTGGGTTTGGGCCCAATCGCGCCAGCAGCTGCGCCAGCCGCTGTCGATTCGCCGCAGACACGCTCTCCGGCGCTTGCAGGGCCTGCGCATCGGATGGGGTAGTGGTTGGTGTTTGAGAGAGGGGGGGGGGGTGAATGTGGCGTGTTCAGGTTGTGGCATAGGTTGCGGCGTGTGAAGGTAAAGGGGGGGGTTGAAGGAAGGGGGAGGGGAGGGACACACACACACACACACACACACACACACACACACACACACACACACACACACACACACACACACACACACACACACACACACACACACACACACACACACACACACACACACACACACACGCACACACACAACACAGAGAAACGGCAAGACGTACGGAGACGTTGTTGTGGTCGCGGATTTCCCGCCAACGGTTCCACGCCTGCATGTATTCGTCCTCCGTCGCAAAGTCCTCACGTTGGGGCTCGCGCTTGTTGGAGATGCGCTTCTTGCGGCGTGATGATGACGTCTGCACAGTGCGCAGGCATTGCGTCCATCGAAACAATGAAAACAAACACGGCGGGTGAGCCAAAGATTGGAGTGGCGTACGCACACGCCCTGACACAAAAGCAAAGGCACACGGACACACTAACACCAAAGCAAGCAAACATACATACATACACAAACAAACAAGCGCGTACGAGGCGGTGTGCTGGGAGAGAGGGATCCTTGCCGATGGCATCGCGAAGGCGCTCAACAAGCACGGTCTTGGTGCCAGATGTAGGGAGGTGACGCAGGCGGCATTCCTTCTTCAGATCATCGACAACCATATCAGAAGGGTCAAAGTCGATGTCCCGCTGCGTTCGCATACCAACCCGCGGCATGGTGGAACGGTGTCGGGAGGGCAGAAGGCGTTGGAGAAGTGTGAAGGAGGGTAAGAGAGACAAAGACAGAGAGAGAGAGAGAGAGAGAGAGAGTCGCAGTGGGGTGTGATTACAAACAAACGTAAATGGGGAGGAGAGACCCGGGGCGAGAGCCAGAATGTGAGCTGAGACGAGTAGGAAGGTCGAGTCGCAAACACGCAAACAAAAGGGAGGAAGTGGACACTCGATCAAAGATACACACAGACAGGCAGGTGTGCTGGTTTCGATGTTTGGCTGGTTTTGTGTCTTGTTTGTTTGTTGGTGCTGGCTGGGGAGAGAGTGTGAAATCAAGAAAGACGGCAACAAGGAGAAGAAGAAGAAATGCGCACAAGTATTGCTCGGTGACGTGTGGGGTGTGTGGAAGGACAAGCACCGAGCACACCAACATGCAAAACGGTTTGCATGTCGGCTGTTGTGTGTGATGTGTTGTGATGTTGACAACTATTTCTCATGAAACACACAGAAGCAAGAATCAACGGCGGTGACGCTGTGGACGCGCATTACATTACACGGTATTGCTCATGTGCACACTCGCATGCACGAGCAACGATCAAGGTGACGTGGAGGCCATGGAACGCGTTTGCATGCCTGGCTTGACTGCATGCAAAACCGTGCTTTGTTTTGGCTTCGGCATGTCGTGGGAAACTTACGCGTGCCGCCGAGCTAGCCACTACTCGTCTTGGACCATCGCTCGAGTCCTCAACAGCAGCCGGCTGAGGCGCAGGCGGCGGTGGTGGCGGGAGCGGTGGCATGGTGCTGGTCTGTTTGTCAATTGTGTGCGTGTGTGTGTGTGTGTGTGTGTGCTGGTGGTCGTAGCGCGCAATGGAAGAAGAACAACAAACGCCTTGCTTGGCCTTGCTTGGCCTTGCTTGGATGGATGGATGGAAGGACGCGAGCGAGTGGGTGGGAATTGCTGCTGTATTGGTCGTGCCGTATGGCTTCTGCGCGGATTACGGCAAATCAATTAATGCTGTCGTGGGCGGCGGAGGACAACGGACGTTGCTGATGTGACGATGGTTTGTTTGGTGCAGTGTGTGCGTGTGTGAGTGTGTGTATGTGTGTGCATGTGTGTGTGTGTGTGTGTGAGTGTGCGTGTGTGAGTGTGTGTGTGTGTGTGAGTCTGCGTGTCTGCGTGTCTGCGTGTCTGCGTGTCTGCGTGTGTGTGCGTTAGTCGTCACCTCTCTCACTCCTCTCACCCTGCACTCTCACCCTGCACTCTCACTGCTTCAACTCGGACGCCACGCGATCCCGCGTCCATAGGACGAGTACTTGGAAGCGCAGGGGCGCCGTCGAAAGGACGTGGCTGGCGATGGGGCATGCTTGTTCCGCTGCTTCTCCTTTGCCCTCTTCCACACAGAACACTTGCACATGCGCATGAGACGCGTCGCCCTGGACCACATGCGCCAACACCGTCACGACTTTGAACCCGTGCGTTACACCCCACCTGCGTGCATGTGTGTGTATGTGTGCGTGTGTGTGTGTGTCGAAGGTTTGGTGTGGTGTGGTGTGTGCTGTGACTGACAACAACCACAACCCCACCTTCGTCCTCCTCTCAGACACCTTCACTCATTCACTCGCGAACTCATACATAACACGCCCCGCTCACCCCTGCCTTATGTAGTTTATGGAAAAGGCGTGGGACCAGTACATGCTGGAGATGTCGGGCCCAAAAGTGTGGGGTACGCAACTGGAACTGCAGGCGCTGGCAGCAGCATGTAACCTTGCTGTGGTCATCTTTGCTGCACAGCCAACGCCCCACGTCGTGCCCAGCTTTGCCCAACCCAACCGCAACACCAGCACCCCGACCCTGCTCAAGGCAAGTTGATGTGAACTTGACATTGTTGGCACATGCAACAAACACCAACTGCGAATGTCATGACCATACCGTCCCCCGAAATTCATCCTCGCTTGCTCTCCTACTTGGGCGCGTTCTGCACAACGCATACACACACCAGCCTGCTGCCTCACATTACACATCACCTCACATTACACATCGCATCGTGTCCAACAACACCACGCCTTCCCACAAAAACAGAGCCATGCTGGCAGTGCCACTGGCGTGATTGAGCTCTGCTATTGGAACAACAACCACTACGATATCGTGTATCCTATTTCCTTCTTCGACACCGCCGAAACCATCTATTGTGAGTATGTGTGCGTGTGTTTGTGTGTGTGTGCGTGTGCGTGTGTGTGTGTGTATATATATATATTTATATATCTGCCTGTTCCCCTGTGCCTGTCCCTCTGTGTGTGGCATGAACCCTCTGCTATTTTGTCGCACTGTGTGCTTTGTTCCATTCTTTGTCGCATACATTCGCTCCACCCACCTCACCTCCCCCCTCACCCTCGTGCACGGCGCCACCAGCCGTCATGCGCGACATCGTGCAGCGCGTCACAGGCCTGCCGCCAAGTGCACCCCGTCCATTTTACCGAGCAGAGCCCAACCTTGCAGTCCCAGGTGAGGTGAAGGTGGTGGCGTGGTTGTGTGCTGTGGGTTTGCTCGCGTGTGCACGTGTGCATGTGTGCCTGCCTGTCGATCTAACGCACCTGTACATGATGAGCTGGCGTCCAATGTTACGCTCACAAGCTGCACCGTCTTGCTGCTGCCACGATTGCTGATGATCCTGCTGATAATGACGGTGACTGTGGGCCCCGTAATGCCATTCAGGCGGGCACAAGCTGGCGGTTGGATCTGCATGTGCAGTGCGACTCAAAGAATCAGCATCTCGCCTCACACGCGCCACCATCACACGTATCAACGCAGCGCACGCAACAGTCCAGGTCAGTCAAAACAGAGAGTGTGCGTGTGTGTGTGTGTGTGTGTGTGTGTGTGTGTGTGTGTGTGTGTGTGTGTGTGTGTGTGTGTGTGTGTGTGTGTGTGTGTGTGTGTGTGTGTGTGTGTGTGTGTGTGTGTGTGTGTGTGTGTGTGTGTGTGTGTGTGTGTGTTGATTGTGCCATTGGAGGCCATAGTGATTTTCTGTGACTTCCGGTACTCTTCTGCAAAACTCTTGTGTGAGCAAAATATGCATCTGTATGTCTATGATCGTCAACTCGCTCAGCGCGAGAGTCAAAACAGCATGCTTGCTATCGAGAAGCGCTACATGCATGACTGTCACGACTGACACCACGCTCTCATGTGCACTCCACTACATTACGAGCATACTCTGTATGTCTAT